GGGGTGTGTGTATGTCTGTTTTTCTGCTACCGATGCTTCTGCTTCCAAAATTAGTGCTATTTCTATAAAAAATAATGCCCACCAAAGAGTTCTACAACAGCAACAAACAAAAAGAAGAATAATGTAATCATTGAATGGGTATAGGTTAAACTGATAAATGTCTCCTGAACACATTGAAAAATCTTGCAACACAATAGGACCCTTAAAATAATCCATAAGGGGCGCCTGGGTGGCTCAGTTGGTTAAGCATCTGCCTTTGGCTCAGGTCATGATCCTGGGGTCCTGGGATTGAGCCCCATGTCAGGCTCTCTGCTCAGTGGGCTCCCCCTGCTTGTGCTCTCTCTCTCTGTGTCAAATAAATAAATAAAATCTTAAAAAAAACTAATCCATAAGTCTGAGTTGATAGGTCTGCCTGTGCCTTGGTAAGTCTTTTTTGTTGTTGTTTATTAAATGTTGGCACTCAAAAAAAATAATGCCAATGTCATCTGTCTACACAACAAATCCTATGACATGTTTAACTACTTAATACAAATAACTAGGACCAGTCCCAGCACTGAGTGATGAAAGAATTAGCTACTCATAGGGATGGATTATTTTGGTTAGTATTTCTCAAATGATTTAAGCAGAAGGCAGAAGGTAGTTTTTTTCCTTGAAATTTCCGGATATTCATACTAAGTTTCTACTTTGCTTCCATGGAGATTTGGCCAGTGAAAAGCTATGTCTCCATATGCAAAAAAAAAAAAAAAAAAAAAAGGAAAATTGAATGGATTATCAAATAAAGACAAAGATGCTTACTGTAATTATCATCTTATTTCAGACCAAAAAGCACATGTACCCTATCTAGACCTTGACTACATTTCTACTTCCACTGTTCAGTCCAAGCCCCATCACCTTTAAAGAGGACTTCAACTACCTCCATTTTGACCTTAAACTTTCTAATTGATTAAGTTCCTTTCCAGCTTATCGCTTAACTCAGGCAAAAGACCCGGTGGGCAAAGCATCCTGGGATGGGAACTGAAACTTTCCCCTCAAGCAATAAGGACCGCCCTGAGCCAGCAAGACCCCGCATGACTGACCCCAAGACAATGATCAACCTGACCTTTCCTACCCACCAGCATGTACCCACCGACCTTTGTCCCACATTTTCCTTATAGGAACCTGGAAGGATTTTCAGCACTTTGGAGACAGTCTCTGAGACGCTAGTCTGCTGTTTTCCTGGTGGTGGCCTCTCTGAAATAAATCCCTTTCTTATCACCACCCCTTTCTCTGCCTGTGGATTTTGTTAGTGGTAAGTGGCTGAACCTGATCTGTTTGGGATCCCGTGTCAGGTGCTCTTGCACCCTTGCGCCCTGGCTACAACTTCTTAGATTGTCTCTCCCTCCATCATCCAGAGACATCTTTCTAAAAAAATGTCAAACTGAGCACGTTGCTTCCATGGCACCCCATTGCCTATAGGTAGCAAACTCCTTCCTTAGCATGGGCATTCGGGGGGCGGGGGCTGCAATTGGGATCCGGCATTTGTCTCCAGCATAAACTTCTCCAGCTCTCCTTTTAATAGAGCTCTCTGCCATCCACTTCCTAGTTGTTAGCCAAACAAACTATTTGTGGTTCCAGGAGGAGAGGGGCTCTCTGTTTTGACTTTCCATGCCTTTGTTCGCACTCCTCCCAGAGCAAAGCTCTTTATCTTTTGTTTGCCTAATGAACACTATGTAATTTAACTCTTAACTCCCTTATAAAGCCTTTTCTGACTCATGCCCACATTCACCTTTGTACAAACATTCTATTTTGTCAATCTTCTATAATAGCACCTATAACACTTGATTGGATTTATTTGATCCTGACTATCTTTTCTTAATAGGTTGCAAGCTCTTTGAGGTCAAGCACCATGAATTATTCATCTTTGTATCACCAGCCCCTAGCCTATTCTGTGTCTGGCACCTAGGAGGTACTCAGTAAATACTATTGAATGAAGAACAGTTGTTAACTAAAATTGTCTAGATAGCTACTGTCCAGTACATAGCCACTAGTCACATGTAGCTATTTACATTTAAGTTTTAATTAATTAAAATTAAAAATGCAGTTCCTCACTCTAGCCACATTTCACGTGCTCAATAGCTACTTGTGTGTATCATACTGGACAGCACAGATTACAAAAATTTCCATAATCACGAAAAGTTCTAATACATAGTGCTGATCTGGAAAATTCTTTATTTTCCCGTTTTAGTTTAATAAACATTGATTTTCTGCTATATGCTAACATCTGTGCTAGGCATGGTGGTTATAGCAAATGTGAACAAAATACGAATACTATTAGGATTATTATTTGCAAGGCATTTGAAATCTGGTAGGGAGAAGCCTCATAACATGAGATTATTTCCATATTGGGACATCAGGAAGGCTCATGGAGATTTTCTCACTTAAACTGGGCATTTAAGGATGAAGAGAATTTGAATAGGGCAAATCTTGGGAAAGGAGAGAAAAGAGTGTGAGCAAATGTACAGAGGTGGGAAAGTACTAGGAAAATGGGAAGTAATTTAGTTTGCCCAGGAAGTATGGTATGTGAGCTGGAGGGAGTTGTTTAGTTTATTCCTTCATTCCTTTAATCATTCAACAAATATTTTTTGAGCACCTCTCCTGTTTCAGACTCCATACTAAGTGCTGGGAATAAACAGGGACCTATACAGACATTGCCCCAGCAGAGTTCACAGTTACGAGCGATGAGATTTGGAGAAGACCGTGGAAGGCACTGAAAGTTACCCTAAAGAGTTTGTACTTTGTTCCTCTGGCCCTCACACTCAAAGTGTGGACTTTAGACCAGCTGCGTGGGCTGGGCATGACCTGGGAGTTTGTTAGAAATGCAGAATCTCTGGGGCGCCTGGGTGGCTCAGTCGTGAAGCGTCTGCCTTTGGCTCAGGTCATGATCCCTGCGGGGTCCTGGGATCGAGCCCCGCATTGGGCTCCCTGGTTGGCGGGAAGCCTGCTTCTCCCTCTGCCGCTCCCCCTGCTTGTGTTCCCTCTCTTCCGCTGTGTCTGTCAAATAAATAAATAAAATCTTAAAAAAAAAAAAAAAAAAAGAAGTGCATAATCTCAGGTCCCACCAGAACCTCAAACCTACTGAATCACAATTTGCACTTTAGCAAGATCTCCAGATTATCCTTAAGCACATTAACATTCGAGGAGCATTGTTGTAGGCCTACTGAGCCAGTAAGAGAGTATGCAAGTGAGTAAGTTAAAGTAAGGAAGGAAGAATGAAGCAAGTAAGTAAGCATAACAGTTGGAAGTAAGGTGGTATTCTAATCAGTACTGGATTGGATGCCAAAGAAACTGGACATGGGTCTATTACTGTAGCTCAGATGAGAAATGGGAGGGGTTGGATGTGAGAGACAATCTTTTGTATACAGATACAGCTTCAGTTCCATCAACTCATACTAGAAATACTGTATGTTATTCAAAGTGAAAAAATATCAGCAAATTCAATAATATGGTATTTGAGATGCCTTCGAAGACACCAGCTATTCGTTTGGGACAAGGCTTATTGGTATGTCTACTTCCTGTTGACGCCACAGGTCCAAAGTGTACTCCTGAGTGTCAAAGTATCAGGCCCTTAATCATACAAATTCATACAGGGGTTATGATAAGGATTTCAGAAATTAAATCACTATATCAAAGTTCACAAAAACTAGAAATTCAGTTTATTAATTTACAATGGCGTAATTACCTTTCCACTAACCAGAGATTTTTTTCTTTTATTACCAGCATTAAATTTTTTTTCAAGTTTTTATTTATTTATTCATTTAAGTGATCTCTACACCCAACGTGGGGCTCAAACTCATGACCCTGAGATCAAGAGTCACATGCTCTTCTGACTGAGCCAGCCAGGCGCCCCCAGCATTCAATTTTTTATGACAACTTTTTAATTTTGAAATCACAAAAAGTTGCAGAGATAATACAGAGAATTCCCATGTACCCTTCACGCAGCTTTCCCGATGGTAATAGTTTATATAACCATAGTACATTGTCAAGCCCAGGAAACTGACATTGATACAGTACTATTAACTCAAGTACAGACCTTATCCAATTTCACATTTTTTCATGCACTTGTGTGTGTGTGTTTGTAGTTCTATGAAATTTTATAATGCGTTGATTTAAGTAAACACACAATCACGATACACAACTGTTTCACCATTGCAAAGAAACCCCCTCCCGTTACCCATCAATAGTCACACCCTTTCCTCAACCCTAGGCTTTAGCAACCACTGATCTGTTCTCCATCACTGTAATTTTGACATTTTGAGAATATTACATAATGGAATCATACGATGTGTAATTCTTTGAGATTGGCTTTTTCCAGTAAGCATAATGCTCTTTAGGTTCATCCAAGATGTCCCATGTATGGCTGAGTAGTATTCCATTGTATGACCATACGACAGTTTGTTCAACCATCTGCCGGTTGATGGACATTTGGATTGTTTCTTGCTTTTGGCTATCAAAAGTAAATCTGCTATGAGCATTTGTATGCAGGTTTTTGGATAAACATACATTTTCATTTCTCTAGGATAAATGCTCAGGACTAAGAGACCAAGATTGCTGGGTCATATGGTAAATATATGCTTAACTTTATAAGAAAGTGCCAAATTGTTTTCTATAGTAACCAGTATTAGATCTTAAAAATCATATAAGTAATGTCCCCTTACTGTAAAAAAATTCACATAAGGTAGCAAAGTATAAAGTGAAAGTAAAATGACAAATCCTGGAAGCCTGCACAATCTCTTTCCTGAGAAGTAATTGTTAGGTTTTCTATATATTCTTCAAGAATGCTTTATGCATATGTAAGCACATATATGTGTATATAAATATATATATTCACAAATGGGATCACACTATACAAGCTATTTACAAATTGTTTTTTCACTTAACAACATATCTTAGACATATTTGGATGTCAGTAGATAAATATGTAGTTGCTTCTTAAAATTGTTTTTAATTTTAAGTAGGCTCCACACCCAATGTGGGGTTTGAACTCACGACCTCGAGATCAAGAGTCTCATGCTCTACCAACTGAGCCAGCCAGGTGCCCCTGTACTTAATTGCTTAAATGGAAATAGGACCCCATTGTATGGATGTATCATAAATTTCTTTTTTTTTTTTTTAAAGATTTTATTTATTTATTTGACAGAGAGAGACACAGCGAGAGCAGGAACACAAGCAGGGGGAGTGGGAGAGGGAGAAGCAGGCCTCCCGCTGAGCAGGGAGCCCGATGCGGGACTCCATCCCAGGATCCCAGGATCCCAGGATCATGACCTGAGCTGAAGGCAGACGCTTAACGACTGAGCCACCCAGGCGCCCTGTATCATAAATTTCTTTAACCAATTCCCTAAATGATGCCATTTCTATTTTCAGTTTCTCTTTATTACAAAGCTATGATGAAAGTTTTACTACATAGATCTTTGTGTAATTTGTACAAGCATATCTGTATGACAGATTCCTAGAAATACAAGTGTTAGGCTAATTTTACATTTGGTTTTTTTTTTTAAGATTTTATTTATTTACTTGACAGAGAGAGCACAAGCAGGGAGAGTGGCAGGCAGAGGGAGAGGGAAAAGCAGACTCCCCTGCTGAGCAGGGAGCCAGATGCGGGGCTTGACCTCAGGACCCTGGGATCATGACCTGAGCCCAAGGCAGACGCTCAACCAACTGAGCCACCCAGGCGCCCCTAATTTTATACTTTGTATGTTATGAGATACCTTGTTTTTAAATAATTCCCACTAGCGATATATGAGAATTCTTAGTTCTTTTTTTTTTTTTTTAAAGATTTTATTTATTTATTTGAGAGAGAGAAAGAGCACAAGAGGGGGGAGCAGGAGAGGGAGAAGCAGACTCCCTGCTGAGCAGGGAGCCCGATGCGGGACTCGATCCCGGGACTCCAGGATCATGACCTGAGCCGAAGGCAGTCGCTTAACCGACTGAGCCACCCAGGCGCCCCGAGAATTCTTAGTTCTTCACTGAGTGTTACCAAAATTTTTCATCTCTGCCAATCTGGTAGGCAAAGTGTATTTAATTTGCAGGCCTTGGTGAATTAAATTGAGCACTGTTTTATGTATTTATTAGCTATCTGCATTTCTTTTTTAAAAAATTCATTTTAGAGAAAGATAAGAGAGATAGAGAGAGTGTGTGTAAGCGGGGAGGGGCAGAGGGGGAGGGAAGAGGGAGAAAGAATCTGAAGCAGCCTCTGCACTGAGCGCAGAGCTCAACCTAGGGCTCAATCCCACAACCAGGAGATCATGACCTAAGCTGAAACCAAGAGTGGGAAGCTCAACCAGCTGAGCCACCCAGGTGCCATCTGCATTTCTTATCCAATAAGTTGACTCTTTTATATCCTTTCTCCATTTTTCTATTGGAGTATTTTTGTCTTACTGATTTGTGAGAGTTCTTCATATGTATTACGCCTTTTCCATTCATGTAGCAAATATATTCTGCTTATACTTTATCTTTTGACTTTGTTTATGGTATTTTGACATACATAATTTTAAATTTCTGTGGACTCAAATTTAACCATCTTCAGGCTTCTGGATTTTAGGTCACATTTAGAATGGTGTTAGAAAATACAGAATATATACATGCTGCTTAGAGTAGGAGGCTATCTAGGAAACTTAATTTATAATCAGAAGCTTGCTCCAGGGGTACCTGGGTGGCTCAGTCGTTAAGCGTCTGCCTTCGGCTCAGGGCTCAGGTCATGATCCGGGAGTCCTGGGATCCAGTCCCACATCGGGCTCCCTGCTCAGCGGGGAGCCTGCTTCTCCCTATCTCACTCCCCCTGCTTGTGTTCCCTCTCTCGCTGTGTCTCTCTCTGTCAAATAAATCAATCAAATCTTTAAAAAAAAAAAAAAAAAACGCTTGCTCCATTTGTATAGATGGAGTTAAAGAGAACTGTGGGATGCTTTATTCAGATTATGGTAAGGCTAGAAGATTATCTCTGTCACACTGTTGGGTGTGCATTTCTAGTGACCAGAATATTTTTGCATCAAATAGTGTCTTGTTCCTTAAATAGCATCAAATGTTCTAAGTATTCAACTTTCCTTTTTCTTATTTCTCATCAGGCACCAAAAGCTTCTGTCATTACAATATTATGAAAGATTTTTTTTTGAAGGATAGGTTACAAATAATTAAAGTTTATTTTATGTCAGTTACATATTTCATTTGATGGCATTTTCTCACTTTGTCCTCAAATTCCTAGGGTTTACTCTTTGATCTTTCAGTACCCTATGCAATAAATTTCACTTCTTAGGATAGGACTGGGGCACATAGCACTGTGATCTGCACACACTGAAGGCTCAATAAATATTCTTGTGAATAAGCTCTAGAAAGAGAGGCTATTGTGAAACATACTTACATATCAGTATAAATTTGCTATAAAATTTTATCTGATGTTATACCAGTTACAGTTATTTTCTTCAATGGTCTTTTTCACAAGATGAAAGTAAGTTTACCAAACAGAAGAACTTTTCGAAGTATAAAATTGTTTGAAGTCTAAGTTGCTACACAATCAGATGAGAATGTGAATTTATAAAATAGATGAAAAACTATTTGCACCATGTACTATAATGTGATATTTGGAGCAGAAAATCAGTAGTTTTCAGCTATAAGATAGGAAATCATTTAGTATCAATTGATATTAAATTGGCACAATTGAACTAAATTAATGTAAAATGATTTGGTACAGAGCCCAATTTTTCTATTACTTTAAGTGGAATTTTGCATTAACTTATGTAACTGTAAATTTTCCACTACTCCCTATTTAATGTTCTAGCTGCATCATTCTGTAACTTGAATCTATTAAAAACTGTATAACATTCTACCAAAGATGGTCTATAAAAGAAATGGAAATTTATTTTGAATAGTATTCCACTCCCGAAAGCTTCAGAGGTAAGTAAAAATGTCTTGGATTTTATTTCTTGTTATTGATATTTAGATGCTTCTGTTTAACTTTTATTATTCAGTTGATTAAATATACCATAATTCTTTTTTAAAGTTGCAGGAAAAAAACAAACAGTAAGCACAGAGAATGGAGAGAAACTAAAACAAGCGTGGAATATAATTTGAGGAATGAGATTAATCATTATATTGCATTAGGAATGCTTTAGAGGTTATACCGGGTGAAATCTCCACGGTTTACACGGGGCTTTCGTTTCTCCTCATTTAGGAAATTTGTCTTGTTATTAAATACATTTACTCCTTTTCTTGTAATTAAAAGGTAATTTAATATTAAGGGAATAGTCTAACCAAAAATTTTTAAAAGTAAAGAGGAACGAAGAGCTCTTAGCTACACACTATTGTATCAATCTGGGAACTTCTATAACAGCAATGGAGACATGTAATAGGTCACTTCTTCCTGTCCTAGGAAAAGCGGCGCTTCGGAGGGGACAGGCCCTCCCCGAGTTTTTCTCCCCCGCGTAGAGAGCTCTCGGCGGTCAAAGGTCCGGGAGGCTGGATTCGAAACAAAAAAAATAAAAAGGGTAATAAAGACTTGCGTTAACTGGGGGTCAAAGGAGCGCAAGGGGTCTTTTCGCACTTCAAACACCTTGGGGGAGGGGTGAAGAGGCAGGATAAGAAGGAACCAAAATTCTCAACAAAGTCGCAAGGCCGCCGGGTCCCACGTTTCCAGGAAGACGGTGGATAATCGAGGAAGGCGGGGGAAAAACGGGTAGGTCCCCCGGGACTCCTTCAGCCCAAATTTCGATTTCCCTCCACTTCGCTCCGTCCCGTTTCCTTCCCCCCCCCCCCCCCCCCGCCAGGAGTCAAGAATAAATTGGTCGAGCGCCCGGCCTAGCCTAGTAGCCCAGTTCCTTAAGTCTCCCAGACCCTAGAGAGAGAGACCACGTTTTCTGGGAGTCGGGAATAGTGGGATGTAAAGAAAATTTTTTTTTTCTCCAGTGTCAAGCCTTCCTGGTAGAGAATCGGCTTGCTTTCTCTCCACAGCCGAAGCGAAAAGCAAACAAAACAAAACAGAAACTCAAAAAGCAAAACCCCTAAATCACTTAGGATCAGGTGCCAGAGTTCCGCCAGTAGAGTTCTTTTGGTGGGAAGGAGTAGGGACCGCGGGGAAGCGAGGGTCCGGAACTAGGGCGGAAGGCCCCTCGCTGGGGCGTGTCAGAGGAGGGGACAGGGAAGGGTGATGCCCGACTGGGCTGCCAACCTCGGGCTGCGCGCGGGGCGCAGGGGCCCGGGGGACGAGTTCCGACTAAGCCCAGTTTCCGATTTCCCACGGCTCGGGGCTCTGCCGGACATCCCTAACGACCTCCTTTCGGACCCCCTCCCCCCATTAAAGAAAGAGGAAACGCGGCCCACTCCGGTCCGCGGCGGAAGCGCTGCCAAACGAATGAGTAAGTCAGGCGCGGGCACGGCACCTTGTTTACCCCACTCGGCGGCGCGCCCCTGCGGGCGCCTCGTTCGCAGACGGCGTCGGAGACGCTGAACCCGGGAGGCAGTCGGCCACGATTGGTCGGTGATAGGGAGGAGGACGCTGGGAGACAAGCGTTGCAGTGCCAGCTCTCTGCCGCTAGATGCCGCTCCCTCCCAACAGGAGCCGAGCGCGGGTTCGTGGCCGACAGATGGCGCCTGCGCGTTCCATTCGCCTCCAAGTCGCCGAAGAGCGAACACCCCAAACAATCCCGAAGCGCCACCAAAAAAAAAAAAAAAAAAAAAAGAAAAAAAAAAGAAAAAAAAACCCGCCGGATCCGACCGCCACTTTCAAAACCCCCCACCGCTCTAGAACCGCGGGAGCTTCCGTCCCTGAGTAGAATTCGAGGGTGTAAAGAAGAGGAAGGGGAAAATATCTTGTACCAGCCCAGGGGTGAAGAAGCCCCCGGCCTGAGAAAGAAGGAAGGAGGAGTGGGGGAGGCGAACAGTCTCGTTGCTGCCTCTGTGTACGCTGAGGGGGGAGGTAAGTTATAAAATGGCGGAGGCGAAGCTTCTAGAAGTTTGGAGGGGCACCCGGAGGGCGCGGGGCCCACTGTGAGGTGTGTATGGTTGAAATAGGGCGCGAGAGAGGAGTTGGGAGGGAAAGAGAATGGGCA